TTAATCAGTTTCAGCTGCTTTGGAGTTAATGAAATTAACAACAGGTGCACTAGATGGGCAACAATGCGATGATCCCCAAAACAGGAATGGTTTTACAGGTGGAGGCCACTACTCATCTTTTCTGACTGTTTTTCACCAGTTTTGCATTTGGCTAGGGTCAGTGTCACTATTGGTATCATGAAGCGATACCTGGACCCTACAGAGGTTGCACAGGTAGTCCAAAGCCTCCAGGATGCAACATCAATACGTGCCATTGCCAGAAGGTTTGCTGTGTCTCCCAAGCTCAAAAGCATTTCAGGAGACAGGCAGTTACTCTAGGAGAGTTGGACAGGGTCATAGAAGGTCCTTAACCATCTCCTAGATTGTAAGCTCGAAAGAGCAGGGCCCTCAATCCCCTCATGTTTTGCATTGTATTAGTATTGTTCTGTCACATGTTCTGTCCCCCTTTGTAATGTACAGCGCTGAGCGAACTATTGGCGCTTTATAAATACTGTATAATAATAATAATAATATAATAATAACCCATGAGCAGGACCGGTATCTGCTCCTTTGTGCAAGGAAGAACAGGATGAGCACTGCCAGAGCCCTACAAATGACCTCCAGCAGGCCACTGGTGTGAATATCTCTGACCAAACAAATCAGAAACAGACTTCATGGGGGGTTCCCTGAGGGCCTGACGTCCTCTAGTGGGCCCTGTGCTCATTGCCCAGCACCATAGAGCTCAATTGGCCTTTACAGTGAACACCAGAAATGGCAGGTCCACCACTGGTGCCCTGTGTTTTTCACAGATGAGAGCAGGTTCAAACTGAGCACATGTGACAGAGATGAAAGGGTCCAGAGAAGCCATAGAGAACATTATGCTACTTGTAACATCATTCAGCATGACCGTATTGGTGTTGGGTCAGCGATGGTCTGGGGAGACATATCCATGGAGGGACACACAAACCTCTACAGGCTAGACAATGGCACCCTGACTGCCATTAGGTATCGGGATGAAATCTTTGGACCCATTGTCAGACCCTATGCTGGTGCAGTGGGTCCTGGGTTTCTCCTGGTACACGACAATGCCTGGGCTCATGTGGCGAGAGTATGCAGGCATTTCCTGGAGGATGAAGGAATTGATACCATTGAATGGCCCCCACGCTTGCCCGACCTAAATCCAATAGATCACCTCTGGGATATCATGTTTCGGTCCATTGGACGATGCCAGGTTGCACCTCAGACTGTCCAGGAGCTTAGTGATGCCCTGGTCCAGATCTGGGAGGAAATACCCCAGACCACTATCCATCTCATTAGGAACATGCCCCGGTGTTGTCAGGCATGCATACAAGCACGTGGGGGGCATACAAACTACTGAGTACCATTTGTAGTGTCTGCAATGACATTTCAGCAAAATGGACTAGCCTGCTGAATAATTTTTTCACTTTGATTTTTGGAGTTTCTTTGAATTCAGTCCTCTGTAAGTCGATCATTTTCATTTCCATCAAACGATGGGGCATCCTTACGTTCCTAACATTACCCCATCCATATCAGTTTTGAGATCCAGCAAGAGATTTTTCCCCATTGACATCTGATGTGTTTTCAAAGTGTTCCTTTCATTTTTTTGAGCAGTGTATATAGTGCCCATGGACTGAAGCTGTAACCTCTTTAAAATCACTGTTGTCTCACATGTAACAATAAACCTTCATGCGTGGTAATAAGAAGCTCCAGTCTTCAGAGGTGGGTGAGGTCCGAGATCACCACAACACTACTGAACAAAATAAAAAGATAAAATAATGTTGGGAATCAGGAGGTTTGGGAGTAAATTTGGATAATGTCTGGACACACTATATAGGAGATCTCATGGTAGCGGTAACCAAGAGGCATGAATCCTTGCCTTTGCCCTTCACAGTGCAGGCAGTGTGGTGACCCCCCTCCTCAGCTGGCACCCCCTCGTGGTCCCCCTCCTTTTTCCTGGCTGGTACCAGTCAGGGTAGCTGATCTGAACTTGGTTAGATGCTGTGAAGGGCCGAGGAGACATTGTACTCTATCTCCATAAAGAGTACCTGTCACCTGCCCAATGCATTGGACTTTTAATATCCCTTTCTGATAGCAACAATGTTAAAATAAATAAAATATAAAAGTTCAAAATAATAAAATTTAAAAAAAAAGTATTACAAATGTTTTTGCTGTAACCCCCATTGCCCTGTGCACATCTGTAAATGCACAACCAGGGTGCACACCTGTATGGAGACCTCAGTCGCACCACACGTCAGGTCTTGCCACAAACGTCAGAGCAATAATGACCTCCTGGTTAATTCTAAACTGATGAGCTGGAAATGCTTTTAAAACATCACCTATGGAGATTGTGGGGTACCTTCATTATTTTTTCCTTTTGTGAAATCACCCAATTTCAAGATTTGACATGTTTGGTATCTATTTACTCAATACAAGGTCTACTTTGATATTTTACAGAAAAAAAATGGCTATAGCATTGTGTGAGTTTAAAATTTATTTTATTATATTTTTCCTGAAAATTTGCGTTTGATAAACAGTTGCACAAATATCATGCAACATAAAAAATTGCAGATATCATATTTTAATTCTGTAGGGTCTCTTCTTCTATAAAAGATATCCTGTCCTGGGGGTTTTAGTAATTTTATCATCACCAAAAATGAAGATTTTTACATGTGTAAAAATTGAAAGAAATTGCTCTAATGCCAAATTGGCTGAAGGTGATATAAGAGAGAGGGGGATGTGTCCACACCTGAGAGCAATTTTATTAATTACTGTCTGCAACTGTGCCTGATCCACATAGTTTGCTGTCTGGACTCTGTAAGGCTGGCCATACACTATACAATTAGAATTTGGCCATACACTATACCATTTTCTGTTTCAATTTCCTTGTAAATCTAAACCAAAATTCTCAAGAAAATTGTATAATGCATGGCCAGTCTAAAGCTAGGTTCACATCTGTGTGGGTGCTGCCGCTGCGGATCCGCATGAAAATCTGTGCAGCTGCACCACCCACACAGAGACATGAGGACCCATTGGTGCGTCCCATTAGTTCTGGAAATCACAACCGTACTGGGAACTGAGGTTCCTGTGCGGACTGCGTTTTTGGAAGAAGTGCAGGGACTTCTTCCCTGTTTGTCACAGGCACGGGAGTCGATTCAAATGAATGGGCTCTCGTGCCCACGCAAAACACGGCTTACACGGCCGCATATATGTGAACCAGGGCACACTGACCATCACACAAGGCCTTCCCCCACCACACTTTTAGGGCCATTTCACACTACACGCATTTCAGTTGCTTTTTTTTTCTGCATCCAAAACGCACAGAAAGTAGGTTCTATGTTTGTCAGTGTCATAGTTCACATCACTGCTTGCAGTTCCACTGCGTTCCAGTTGCAGAAAAAAAAAAGAAAAGTGGAACATGCTGCATTTTTTCTGCACAGAACTGTACTGGAAAGCGGGAAAAACGCATCATAACCGCACTGGAACATATATGTCCATATTTAAACTGGAGAAAAAATTAACTGGAACGCATAAAAAATGCAGTGGGACACATCAAAAACATGCATGCAGAAACGCATCTGGACTGCATTTCTATAGTGTGAATCAGCCCTGCAGTCCAATTAACATGATTTCCTAAGGGACACGTTCGCATCTCCGCATTTTCTGGAAAGGGTCAGGGACTTTTTTAAAACGGAAAACATTGCATTTTTGGTTCAATAGAGAAACTGCAGAAATGCTTGTGATGCGTTTTTCTTTTTAATCTGCCCAACAACAAGGTGGAAAAAACCCCAGAAAACATAAAAAAGTGTGAAAAATGCATATGCCAAAATGCAAAACGCACCGCAAAAAGCACTGCAGAAACGGATCAAACGCAAACTTCATAGGTGTGAGTCTAGCCTTAGACCTGATTCACATTGATGCGGTGTGGAAAATTCTGCAAATCCTGTGCGTTTCCTGCACTACATTGCAATTCCAGCATGTTCATGCGATCTGTGTCAGTGATAAATTAATGACACCCCGAAACAGATTGCAAAATGCGATGCAATTGCCAGAAATCGCATGGATAAGAACACCCATGCAATGCGATTCAGGTGCAGATTTATAAAAAAGGGTCCTGCACCTTTTTGGTGCAGATGTGATGCGATTTGAGCCATCCTAGATTGTAAGCTTCAAGGATCAGGGCCCTCCTATCCCTCTTGTATTGAACTGTATTGTTGCTGTATTGTCTCCCGTTATATTGTAAAGCGCTGAGCAAACTGTTGGCGCCATATAAATCCTGTATAATAATACAGTAAGTGTATGGCTTAAATCGCACTGCACAGTCATTTGCATGTAATTTGCACAGGAATGATGGGGTATCTGGTAATGATGTGGATGAGGCTGGTGATGTAATGGCCAGTGCTGATATCACTAATGTTGATGTAGGGGTTTCTGATGTCACTAATACTGATGTAGGTATGTCTGAATGGGGTCATGACCAGTCTGAGGACTATGAGAATGTGGCAATGGAGGAATCCGTTCAGATTAACCCCCATGACTTCCCCCCGTTTGGTCAAGCCGCAACTTGCATCACAAGGGAATGGTGGTCCATCTGGTCATGCTCCTCCTCAGAATGCCTGGAGCCGTGGGGCTCCTTTTTCCAACAGTACCAGTGTTACTAGTCAGGCCTTTAAGAGGAGGAATGTGGTCAGGTTCAAGCATAGGGATTCCAGAGAAGATCTCCCTGATAGAAGGCTCAGAGTTAGGGAGTTGCTTTGTCAGCAGTTGGGGTTTGTGCCCGCAGATATACTGGCAGTCATCAACCTCCCAGACAGACAAGGGTATGATGTCAGCTTTAAGCTCAGGTCTGACTTACACAGGTTCTGGACCAACGTCAGTAAGTTTTGGGACAAAGAGGGGTGGAAGAATTTCATCTTCATCCCCATGTCAAGGTCCTACCTTTTCCCAGAGGTTATGTTACTCCATGTGCTGGCATCCATCTTGGAGGGAATCTTTTATGCCTTCAGGTCTCTGAGGTCCATCCCCCAGAGGGGTGTGGCTGAGTATATATATATATATATATATATATATATATATATATATATATATATATATATATATATATATATATAAGCCTGTGAGCCGCACATGCTTGTTGCATGTGTGGCCTGGTCCAGCTCTGTGTATACGCGCGTAATGCTTCTGGTATCTGACTCGGCTTGTAACTAAGACCATTCTCTGTGGTTTCCTTTGATCTGACCTTCCGTTGCTGAACCCGGCCCGTGACCTGTGATTCTCTGTCTACTGTTCTGTCCTGTTGTTGTCGACCCGGCTTGCCTGACTACGCTATTGTCCTTCTCACCAGCTACATGCCATTGGTGGCGGCCATTACCGCAGCCGGGGTGTCTCGGGGGCCGTGACCTGGTTCCTGGCTGCGTCAAGTCCATCCCCACCATCAGGGGCCCTGGTGAAGGGCAGCCTGGGACTTAGACTCCGCGTCCTGAGGGACTTCGGTCTGTTGGTGGTTGTCGTCAGCCAGTGCGTTACCCTGCCACTAGGCCTACCTGTCCGTTCCACAGCCCTGCCCTGACACCCCATCTCCAAACCTGACACGGCAAATGTTAATATCATTTTCTGGAATGAGTCTGCGCCCCTAGGATATTGTAGTCTGGCTCAGAAGTTGTTGTGAGATGGTTTCTGATTTGACCAAAACTAAAGACAGTGATGGGGTCTGGACTGGTGGTTGGAGGGTTCTGGTTAAGTTGAGGCAAACTAGCAATGTCTTCCATCACCTACCAAACTCCTTTTTCATTGGGTGGGAGACAGTAGTTTGCTTCTATGCAGGTCAGCTCAGGTTATGTTTTAAATGCAGTAAATCTAGTCATGCGTTGAGTGTCTGTACTATCTTGAAGTGTAATCTGCGTGAGGAGGTCGGCCATGTCAGTTCTAACTGTGAGAACGTTAGGTGCAATGTATGTGGTAGGCTTGGCCATTTTCACAGGGATTGCCTGGTGGCCTTCCATAATAGGGATGAGGAATCAGCAGATGAGGAACGGTTGGCTGCAGCAGAACACCTAGAGGAGGAAGCCTTAATGAATGGGGTTATATTAACTGGGGGGCAAGGTAAACCCAGTGGGCAGCCTCGGGCAGGCGGGCAGTGTTCAGTGGGCTGAGGAGCAATGGCCTGCTGTGCCCTCTTCATCTGTTTCAGTTCCTGTCTCTGTGGAATACATTCCCAGGCAGAAGAGAAGAAATAGGAAAGACAAGGCCACCCGTAAACCTGAAAGTGGATGGACCCTAGTGCAGAAGCCAGCTAAGAAAGTAAAAGGGGCACCAGAAAATGGTACGGCAGTTTTCAACAGGTATGATGTCTTATCAGAATTGGATGCCAACTCCTGTGTTCTAGAGGCCCAACTGGAGCAAGAATTAAAGAATGGAAAGGGAATATGCAGCTGGCTCAGAGGATGACCCACCCACTAAGAGGTGCCTGCTCCTGTATCTGCAGAATCTGGTATGGAAACTGGTAGTTAGCAGAGTGACTCAGATTCTGATTTATAATGATGGGAGTCTTATTTTCACTCCTCTTTGCTGTGATGGCAGGGTTTACTCTAAACATTTTCTCCAGCAATGTGAACAGTGTAAAGAACAGGAAGACCAGACATGCAGTTTTTGAACACCTCAGGTAGCTATTTTTTATGCATCTTGCAACTGTCGGGTTATTGCGGGAGGCAAAGAGGGAGTGGTACGCAGGACTCTTTCTTTTTTTTTTTTTCTTTTTTTTTTTTGTTTTTGGCTGACGAGTCCTATGCTGTTGTTGCCATCCTCTTTAACACAAAGAATGTGACAGTACACAGACTCCCTGAGGTGTCAATGGGTAGATGCCTTATGTTGGAGGTAAAAACCCATGGCAGGAGACTCCGGTTAATTAACATCTATGGGCCACAAATATTATCGGGTTTTTTAATTATGTGAAAACATATCTTTTTTCATCAGTCCCTAAAAATCATGATGGGAGACTTTAATGTTGCTAGAACAGTAAGTGACAGTTCTTCTGGTAGGGTGGTGGGTAGTGACTCCAAAGTCCTCAATCACATTAGCTTGCAAACCGGTTTAAGTGATGTGTTTGCACAGAATTGCAGGAAGCCAAGCTTCACCTTCTCTCGCGGTAGTATTTAAGCGCAGACTAGACATGGCATTAGTAAGTCCTACAAAATTGGTGACCAATATAAGTGAGAAGTTGGTAACTTATTCGGATCATGTGGCCCTATGCTTTTGCTTTGGAACCTGTAAGCATCCTGATATGGGTAAGGGGCTATGGAGGCTCAACTCCACTCTTCTAGAGGACGAATCAGTTCAGCAACAAGTACAAATCCTCCTGCAACACCGTGCAGAGAGACTGGACTTCTATGACTGTACTGCAGATTGGTGAGAGCATGTTAAAAAGGACATCCCTTCTCCCTTAAAGAAGCTGTCAACTAAAGTGGGGAAAAGCAAATATATCTCAGGCTGTGGAAAGAGCTGGAGTCCTTTTATTCAGGTGGGGCGAAGGCAGGGAGGAAAATTGATCAAATAAAATCTGAGATAAGTCAGAATAGCAGATACAAATCTCTAGTATTTGAACGAGATTATGGATCCCCAGGGGCACCTGATACCTTTGAGAATTGTTGTGATATGGTGGCCAAAAAGTTAATAACAGGCCTGAAGGACTCTCAGGGGATTTTACAGGAGTCCCAGGAGAGAACTCTTGGAGTTGTTACAGCATACTATGCTGACTTATTTCATAAAAAGGGTTTGGCTAAGGAGAAGATGTCACAGTTCTTAGAGGCGGTCCAGATATTGACAATTTGGACTTCTCCCCTTTGACAGCAGACATAATGGTGGAGGAGGTAAGGGAGGCTATTGACAAATTACGTTAGAACAAGGCACCAGGACCTGATGGCATTACAGCTAAGTTTTATAAGAAATTTAAAGAGGTCTTATCTCCAATTCTGGGGGATGTGTTTAAAAGTTGTTTGGAGAAATGCCTGATGCCTCCATCCCATGAGAGTATCATTGTTAGTTCTGCTGTTTAAAGTTTACCTTTATGTCACTAGGCTCTTTATGAGCCTAGTGACATCAAGAACTGGAGGCCTATTGCCCTCTTGAATGTAGACAGGAAGATTCTGGCAAAGATTGTATTTTCTAGATTGGATTGTTTTTATCCTGCACTATTGACTGTCAGTATGGCACAGTAAAAGGGCGGAATATTTGTGGTGCTGTCATTTTCCTATGGGAAGCGTTTGAGAGGTGTAAGGTTCTTGGGTGAGGGAAGTATGTTTAGACCGAGCTAAAGCCTTCGACAGGGTTGACCATGGCTATCTGTGGGCGACTTTAATATCCCAAGGTTATTTGTCAATTGACTAAGAATTTTACATCGAAAGGCTGAGAGTTTTCCTCTCATCAATGGGTGACATGCTGGCACATTTGGGGTTGAGGTTGGGGTGAGGCAGGGTTGCCTCGAGTCCCGTCTTGTATGTTTTTGCCATCTATACTTTTTTGAGATCACTGCAGGAGTGTGGATTTCTGGGGGTACCTGTACCCCATGCCTCTACGCTATCTGTAGTCATTTATGCAGATGATATCACTGTAGTGGTATCTGCTCCTTATGAGGCCCAATTGTTAGCGGCTGCCATTGGGACTTACTCTGAGGCCTCCGGATATCTTGTCAGCTTTGAAAAGAGTGAAGCTCTCTGGACACTACAGGGTGATCCAGATTTTGATTTCCCGCAATTTGCAAAAGCTTCAATTTATCTTAAGATTCTAGGGGTTAAGTTTGGATGGGAAGATAATGCCAGGCTAAATTTGGAGGAGAAATTGGATGCTGGAAATGCAAAGTTTCAGCTATGGAAGAATTGCAAGCTGACCTACAGAGGAAGGGTCACAATGTTGAAGACTTGCTTGGTTCCTATCTTTCTGTATGTCTCTATGGTTTTTCCTTTGTTAGAATCTTTCTCCGCTAGGCTTTTCTGGGGGAATAAACTGAACCCAATAAAAAGTTGGGTTACTTACCTGCAGGCGAAGGAGGGTGGGTTGAATATTATAAACCCTAAGGTGTTTTTTTGATTCTTTGTTTCTGAAAGTCAATTTTGGGTGCTTAGACTCCAGTGGTGGCCCTCCGGGTAAGCAGTGTTAGGGCCAGGATATTGCCTCGTGCAATGGATGCAAGGTGGTTTTCTCAAGAGGAAGAGAAATACTCAGGGTTATTTCCCACCATATCTGGACTCAGCTCTAAAGTCTCTGAGGAGGTGGGGGATAGAGAAGTCCTACCTTGAAAGTAGCCCAAGGAAATTGCAATATCACAGGATCTGTAGGACTTTTTTCTCTTCTCCACTTGTACTCAGGGACTGCACCTCAGCTGCTTTAGAGGAAAGCCTAAAGTTGCTGAATAGCCCCAGATTACCCTTAAAGTTTCATGACATTACCTCGCTGTCTGTCTGTGAGGAGGAACATGAAATGTCTGGAAGCCCCTGATAGGAACTGTCCTTTGGGCTGTAATCAGGAGGTGTTCATGGCGCATTTCTTGATGGATTGTTGGGAAAGCCATGAGGTCTGTAAGGAAGTAGCTGACAGAGTTAGGATCTAAATATTGGAGAATCTGAGCTGCTCTGACAGGCTTTATGGCGTTCCCCCAACAATAAACAGAGAGAGGAACTATGTACATTATCACTGTGGTCAAGTATTACCACTGTCACACACGGACCAAGGTAGCCATGCACAATGAGCTGTTCCTGTCCAGTAAAATCACAGATGTAGTCCTCTCAGAGTCGAAGTGGGTAAAGAGTTTGGAGCTAAAGAAATATTGGAGGACTATAAAATTACGGGGTAGAATTTATTTATAGCATCAAAATTCTGTTTATAATCTTTTAATTTAAACTGCTGAGTTTCTGACCTGAAGAATATGTAAGCAATTGTTAAATTTTTGTTATTTTCATGTGTTTTATTTTTATGATGGTTACAGTTTTGTCACTAGGTATTCTGTTTGGTTTTACAAATAAAAATTTCCATACATACAGAATAAGAACAGATACTGAGACAAAGTAGGAGATAGCTGGACAGACTGAGATAGAGAGTTGCAGAATTCTGGAGATGAGCAGGGGGAAGAGGAAACAAGGGAGCTTGAGAGCATGAGGTCTTGGGAGGAGCAGAGAGGACGGTTTGTGTGATACACTATTTTGCCAAAAGTATTCAGACACTCCTCTAAATCATTGGATTTAGGTGTTTAATCACCTCCATGGCCATAGGTGTATAAAATCAAGCCCCTAGGCATGAAGACTGCTTCTGCAAACATTTGTGAAAGAATGGGTCGCTCTCAGGAGCTCAGTGAATTCAAGCATGGTACCGTGATAAGTTGCCACCTTTCTAATAAGTCCATCCGTGACATTTCCTGGCTCCTAAAAATTCCACGCTCAACTGTTAGTGGTATTATAACAAAGAGGAAGCAACTGGGAACAACAGCAACTCAGCCACAAAGTGGTAGATCACGTAAAATGACAGAGCAGGGTCAGCGCATGCGCAGAAATCACCAACTGTTTGCAGAGTCAATAGCTAAAGACCTCTACAACTTTGTGTGGCCTTCAGATTAGCACAACAGTGCATAGAGAGCTTCATGGAATGGGTTTCTATGGCCAAGAAGTTGCATCCAAGCCTTACATCACCAAGTGCAATGCAAAGGGCCAGATGCAGTGGTTTAAAGCACACCACCACTGGAGTCTAGAGCAGTGGAGACATGTTCTCTGGATTGACAAATCATGCTTCTTTGTCTGGCAATCCAATGGATGTGTCTGGGTTTGGCAGTTGCTAGGACAATGGTACTTGTCTGACTGCATTGTCACAAATGTAAAGTTTGGTGGAGGGGGGATTATGGTTTGGGGTTGTTTTTCAGGGGATGGGATCGGCTCTTAATTCCAGTAAAGGGAACTTTTTTAAGGTATCAGCATACCAAGACATTTTGGACAATTTCATGCTCCCAACTTTGTGGGAACAGTTTGGGGAAGGCCCCTTCCAACATGACTGCGCACCAGTGCACAAAGCAAGGTCCATAAAGACATGGATGAGTGAGTTTGGGGTTGAGGAACTTGACTGGCCTGCACAGAACCCGGACCTCAACCTGACAGAACACCTTTGGGATGAATTAGAGCAGAGACTACGAGCCAGGCTGTCAAGGTCCTACCTTTTCCCAGAGGTTATGTTACTCCATGTGCTGGCATCCATCTTGGATTTCAGCTGAGCATGGTGGGAATCTTTTATGCCTTCAGGTCTCTGAGGTCCATCCCCCAGAGGGGTGTGGCTGATTACATATAAGCCTGTGGTCCGCACATGCTCTTTGCACTTGTGTTGCTATAACTCTGTACTGACTCTTCTGGAATCTGACTCGACTATGCTTTGTGGTCTCCTTTGATCTGATCCTCTGTTGCTGAACCCGGCTCGTGACCTGTGATTCTCGTCTGCTGTCCTGTACCGGTTTGTCCTGTTGTTGTTGACCCGGCCTGCCTGCCTGACTACTCTATTGTCTTTTCCACCAGCTACACGCCATTGGTGGCGGCCATTACCGCAACTGAGGTGTCTCGGGGGCCGCGACCTGGTTCCTGGCTGTGTCAAGTCCATCCCCACCATCAGGGGCTCTGGTGAAGGGCAGCCTGGGACTTAGACTCCGCGCCCTGAGGGACTTTGGTCTGTGGGTGGTGGTTGTCGTCAGCCAGTGCGTTACATTGTTATTAGGCCTGCCTGTCCGTTCCTCAGCTCCTGCCCTGACACAGGCTTTCGCGTCCGACATCAGTGCTTGACCTCGCGTGCGTGTGCTTCTGGAAGAATGGTCAAACATTCCCATAGACACACTCCTAAACTTGGGTACTGCCTTCCCAGAAGAGATGAAGCAGTTATAGCTGCAAAGGGTGGGCCAACTCAGTATTGAACCCTACGGACTAAGACTGGGATGCCAATAAAGTTCATGTGCGTGTAAATACAGGCATCCCAATACGTTTGGCAATATAGTGTATTTGGAGACAAGAGGATGGCTTTATATGTTAGTATTTTGAATTTAATTAGCTGGACAATGAGAAGCCAGTGGAAAAAATTGGCAGAGAGGGATGGCAGACACTGAGCGGTTTGTAAAGTGGATGAGTCTGGCAGCAGCATTCATAATAGGCTGAAGAGGGAGGCCTATGGAGAGGGTAGGCCTATGAGAAGGGAGTTGCAATAGTCATGGCGAGAGATACCAAGGGAGTGAATGAGTAACTTGGTGGTTTCATTAGTTATATTACATATTATAGAGATGTTATGGAGGGGAAGTCTACAAGCTTTTGACAGCAATTGGATTTGGGCCCAAATGATAGGCCAGAGTACAGGATTACACCTAGTACCCTGGTGTGAGGGGAGGGACTGATAGTTGCATTATTGGTCTTGATGGAAAAGTCATGGAGGAGGCCACGAGTGGGAGGGAATATTATCAGCTACATTTTACAGAAATGTACATTAAGTGGTGCGACATCCATGTTGATATGTCAGTTAGTAATGATAGAGGAAACTGAGATGAGGAGTAGGAGATAGATTTGAATATCAACGGCTTAGATGTAACTCCCTCTAATTTAGCTAGAGATAGATTGTTTTTCCAGGCTGAGTAGCAGCCTGGGAAAGAGTCAGCCTGTGAGTGAGACAGGAGTTCACCTCAGAACAGGCTGGGAGGCTCTAACAGGTCAGGGCTTCTGGAGCCCTCCCACTCTTACAGAAAGTTTAGAGAACTTTCTGGAAGAGAGGAGGAGGCCCAGATCTGCATGTTTGAGGGACCCTGGCCAGAGGCTGGGCATGGTGTCCAGGCAACCCTCAAAAGTGGCAAAGCCTGTGCAGGAGCAGTCAGTGTCAGGTGGAAGATGGAGTAAAGGTTGGAGTGTGGATACAGGCAGAAGCCTACCTACTGACAGGGTGCTGGAAAGAAGGATCTCTGAGCCTCACAATACCCTGAGAGAGGATAGCCTATAAAGCAAGGAAAGAGCCAGCCCAGTGTCAGGCCTGAAGGCAGCCACAAACCCACTAAGCTTGCAGGAGAGACAGATTGAGTAATCCTACACCCCCTGGGCTGGATAAGGGGAGAGGGCAGTCAGGTGGAGAACCCTACTAGCTCCTAATCTTGAACTGTTTCAAGCTGGCAGTTTTTGGACCCCCTTGCCCAGGGGGATTACCCTCAGTACAGCTGGGTGAAGAAGAGTATTCATTTGGGGTTTGAGGAGGAACACCAGAGAGCTGAAATGATCGAGGTTAGACTATTTTTGTGCATATCTGTACATAATTGCTAAGACGTTTGTCCTCAAGTTGCAGTTTTCTTGGGCACCCCATACACCCCTCAACCCCATCCAAGTTAACCCCTTAATAGAACATCAAAATCAAGCTCAAGAACTGTTTGACTTCAGTGCGCAGGTGTGGAATGGAATATGTGTTGTCTTGTTGTGCAGAGCTGTAGGGGGACCCAAAATTTGGTGACTCCTAAGGGGGCAGAGCTACATAGAGATGGGTGGCAATGACTTGTCTGATAGTCCTTTTTTACTTAAAGGTTCTTGTTCGGTAACCATGCTGATAACATTTGCTCTTTGCTAAGCCTGTGTAGCTCCGCATGTCATGCCTCTGTACCACCAGCACATTTAGGCCAACACTACTTGTTTTTTTGGTTTCTTCTATTATTACCTTTGCTTTAGATTCTTAAGAGTCTGTCAGTTTCCAACTACTTGGGGGAAGACAGAAAAGCCAGATGAGTCCAAAGGTAGAAGTGGATCTCATAATTCCTAAAGAAATGTTATAGCTTGCTTTGTTCTGAAATTTATTCTCATGGTCCTTATTGTCAGCTCTGGCGACACATAACAAACATACAGTATAGTGGGGTTTTCTCAAATTTGACTGCGAAAGGAGAAATATATGATAAATGATTAAATTCTATTATCATCATCATTCTTGGAGAGTATCAGTTTTCTTTGTTACTAAATGGACATGTTAAAGCGGTTCTTCAGTCTGTAAAAAGAAAAAAAAAAGTCAGAAGCTATAAATACTGTAGCTGCTGACTTTAAATATAAGGACATTCACCTTATATTATACCTTATACCTTGTTATAAAACCCCTCAAAAAACAGTAGCTTCTTTGCAGAAATGAAAGTTTTTTTCCCTTGTAACAAGTGTATAATCTGCCACTGTAATAAGAGGAAAAAGAAAGTCGACAACTTTACCTCCACTGTCACAGGAAGGACATAAACAATAAATAACTTCATTTCTTGCAATAGCAGACATGTAGTATATTTATTACAATCCCCGTGCCAAAAGCAATACAGTTGCAAGAAAAAGTATGTGAACCCCTTGTGATTACGTGGAGTTTTGTATGAATTGGGCATAAAATGTGCTCTGAACGTCATCTAAGTCACAACAATAGAAGAACACAGTCTGCTGAACATAATACTACACAAACATTAGCTGTTGCCATGGTTTATTTGCACATAACATGTAAACATTCACAGTGCACGGAGGAAAAAAGTATGTGAGACCCTAGCTTAATGACTTCTCCCAGAGCTAATTGGAGCCAGGAGTGAGTCAACCTTGACTCCAATCAGTGTGATGATATTGGATGTATTGCTGACAGCTGTCCTGCCCTTAAAAAACACACACCTGTTTTGGGTTTACTGGTTTCAAGAAGCACTGTCTGATGTGAACCATGCCTCGCAGAAAAGAGCTCTCAGAAGACCTACGATCAAGAATTGTTGACTTGCATGAAGCTGGAAAGGGTTACAAAAGTATCTCCAAAAGCCTTGATGTTCATGTGTCCACGGTAAGACAGACTGTCTACAAATGGAGAAAGTTTAGCACTGTTGCTACTCTCCCAAGGCGTGGTCGTCCTGTAAAAATGACTGCAAAAGCACAGCGCAGAATGCTGCATGAGGTAAAGAAGAATCCCAGAGTGTCAGCTAAAGACCTACAGAAATCTCTGGCACATGCTAACATTTTTGTTGACACATCTACAATAAGGAAAACATTAAACAAGAATGGAGTACATGGGAGGACACCACGGAGGAAGCCATTGCTGTCCAAAAAGAATATTGCAGCACGTTTGAAGTTTGCAAAAGAGCACCTGGATGTTCCGTAGCACTACTGGCAAAATATACTGTGGACAGATGAAACTAAGATTGAGTTGTTTGGGAAGAACACACAAACACTATGTGTGGAGAAAAAAAGGCCCAGCACACCAACATCAAAACCTCATCCCCACTGTAAAACATGGCGGAGGGAGCATCATGGTTTGGGGCTGCTTTGCTGCCTCAGGGTCTGGACGGATTGTTGTCATTGATGGGAAAATGGATTCCAGAGTTTATCAAGACAAGACATTTTGCAGGAAAATGTACGACCATCTGTCCGCCAACTGGATCTCCGCAGAGGATGGGTGATGCAACAGGACAATGACCCAAAGCATACAAGTAATTCAACAAAACAATGGCTGCAACAGCACAGAATACGCCTTCTGGAGTGGCCCAGTCAGAGTCCTGACCTCAACCCGATTGAAATGCTGTGGCATGACCTTAAGAGAGCGATTCACACCAGACATCAAGAATATTGCTACACTGAAACAGTTTTGTGAAGAGGAGTGGTGCAAAATTACTCCAGATCGTTGTGCAGGTCTGATCTGCAACTACAGGAAATGTTTGGTTGAGGTTATTGCTGCCAAAGGAGGGTCAACCAGTTATTAAGTCCAAAGGTTCACATACTTTTTCCTCCCTGCACTGTGAATGTTTTGTTATGTTACTTAAACCATGCAATTATTAAACCATGGCAACATCTAATGTTTGTGTAGTATTATGTTCAGCAGACTGTGTTCTTCTATTGTTGTGACTTAGATGACGTTCAGAGCACATTTTATGCCCAATTCATGCAAAACTCCACGTAATCCCAAGGGGTTTCACATACTTTTTCTTGCAACTGTATATTGGTCGAACTACTAGAAGACAGAGAGACCGCCTTAGGGAACATGTGAATAATATCAAAAAGGGTTATAAAGATCACTCCCTTTCTAAGCTTTATCGCTTATGCCATAATAAAGATCCCTCCTCACTAACATTCATAGGTATAGATGTTATAAAAACACACTGGAGAGGAATGAACAAAAAACGGGCAGTTTTTCTCAACTTGAATCGAAATGGATATTCGAATTAGATACTTTATATCCCAAGGGACTCAATGTCGAGTTCGACATTAATTGTTTTATAGATAATAGCTAACACACATTCCATTTTCAGTATCATGACTTCACCCTCCTCAGTTTTATTGTCATCGCAATTTTAACAGTTCTTATAGGTATTTTAGAATACTCTATCTTATTCTGATTTTATAGCAATTCTATTTTAAAATATTATTCATATACCATTTACACAGTAATTTTTATATTCAACTTCATACATTTTATAGGTTCTGCGAGGATCATGAAGCAGGAAGTCTCTGACACAACAGCTCGTACAGCAAAGAGAGATCAAAGGGCTGAAAAATGACCAAAAACCCACTGGACCTTAGGAGATTTATATTTAGTTATTAAAGGACTGTAAACAGTACAGAAATAAATAC